GACCTTGCTCCAGTTCTTGTGGAAGGCTGCCTTCAGAACGGCAATCCACCTTGGTGACTGCCAACTTTATCAGCTCTTGCTACTGTGCTTCTCAAAAAGCATCTTCCCATAGAACCCACTGGAAGCTGCCAGAAGGTAGCGGTAACCTTGACAGCTCTGTCACTGCTATGTGACTTAAAGCATCCTCCCATAAATCTTCTTAGAAGTAGTTTCCCATAGATAGAAGTATCGCACACTTCACCCTCTTCACTGCGCACGGCCCACCTTCAAGCCTCAGTGACCTAATGGGGGTGGACCCCTTACTGCACACGGCTCTTGCCTTCGTGGGAACGGGCCCCTTGCTGTGCACTGTCCACCTCCTGGCCTAGGTGACCTAAGGCAGGTGGACCCTATGTTTTATTGCTCACGACCCTATCACTATCCTTAAAGATGATTTCACTCACTGCCCTGCCCCCTCACCTACGCACAATAAATACTCATGCTTCTGGACATTCGGGGCCTCGCCACCCTCGCCTGACTCTGCTTATAGGTGGCGTGGCCCCCTGAGCCCAGCTGCGTTTTCTTTGTACTTCTGTGTCCTCTTTATTTCTCGGATCCTGCACCTCAGCACAGCATAAGGTTCACCCCACGACCCTGTGGGGCATCAGCCATGCATCTGGCTCCCAATGTGCCCTACACACAATACCACCAGACATCCGATCCAAGATGGCTAAGGGCAGGCTGAGGGGTAAGCTCTTGGAAAGACTTGATCTCACTGTATCCTGTGGAGTTTCCAAGGAATGCCAAGTTCGCTCCCTGTCGTGACAGACACGAGGCAAAATTGGTCTTGGAAGATGGAAGCTGGATGGCCCTTGGGGGCTGACCCACAGGGTGCTGAACTTCAGGAAATAGCAAGAGAGAGTTTGGCACTATTCATTAATCCAGGTTGTGGAGTCTTGAAAAGGAACTACCGTACAGTTTGTGTCTGGTTGACTAGAGGACCATCCAAGTGGAAAGGGGACAGTTTGGGTCTACGGTCTACCAGGTGCACAAGCTAACAATCACTTTTGTTTAAAGTGCCAATGAAATGTTTAATCCATTCCAGCCAGGCATTTGCATCTTGGTACCATCTCAATTGTTGAGCTTTGCTTTAAATCTTTTACCTCTACTGTCTACTTTGGTCTTGTCACTAGGTATGTGGGGAGATAGTATGAGGACGGGATAGAGGTGGTGAAGGAGCAACAAAACATATTTCAAAGAAGCCCCTAGGGTCCTTTCCTGAGGTTTGGCCCCTATACCATAAATACGACCTAATGAAAGACAGGTATTTTGAAATGTTGCAATAGTGTTAGTAAGCTGTATCAATTGGGAAGAGCAATCCCTTTGGTGAAATTAACAAATGGTCTTAAGGACTGGCAAAGACTTGTGGGAACAGCCCAACCAAGACCTTTAGTACGTCATAGGACATTGGACCAAATAGAGGGAATCTGTTTGGGAAGGACAAGAATCCCATTCTCCTGCCGGGCGCGGTGGCTCAAGCCTGTAATCCCAGCACTTTGGGAGGCCGAGGCGGGTGGATCACGAGGTCAAGAGATCGAGACCATCCTGGTCAACATGGTGAAACCCCGT